GAGTCTCCAGCCTGCGGGCTCCCAGCTCCCCGGTCCGCCGTCGCCGCCGCCATCTTGGAGGGAGCTGCTATTGTGTCACTGGAGGCGGGGAGGAGCGGGACCAGATCCGCACCGCTCAGCCAATGACCCGCAAGTCTACCGGAGCCGCAGGGAAACCGAGTCCGAGTCCGGCACTTCTCTTTCAACACGGCCACGCCTCGCCACATTTCGAACTCTATATCCCACAATGCAGAGCTCTACAGAGGCAGACCAACTCGGGCTGGCAAGGAACTTTGGGAAATGTAGTACAGACTTGTTCAGCCATAGGCCTGTTCGGCCGAAACTTCGGGACACTGAAAACTACAATTCCCGCTTGCAACGCGGCTCTGGCCTCTCAGTTCAGCTCCCTCCTCCAGGGTCTAATGTTTATCCCCGATTCTCGGGTCTGGTAGCTAGAGTCAAGTATGCTGTAGTGATTGATTCTGAGGGAGTCCCAGTCCCGGCTCCGAGACCACTTTTGCTATTTGGCCTCCCAACCGCGGGCAAGAGGCGCGAGGGCATGGCACAGCACTGACCCCGCTCGCGCCGCTCTGCTGCTGGGGCCTGGTCGCCATGGCGACGGGTTGTACACTACCATAGCTTCCCAGGCCGCGAGTGCTAGCTGCCCCGCTGTTGGAGGGTGATGGCCTCCTCTACGCCACAGAGATCCAGCTTGGCGACCTCGTCGAGGTAGGCGCTGGCCCGGCTGAGGGCAGAGATGAGGGCTTGAGTACAGAAAAAGGAAATGGTACCTGATCCGGACCTCGGAACTTCCCGCCTCTGTCCATTGACTCTAGGGCTCCAGCCCCACAGGATCAGTGGTGCAGAAACAGAATCCCAATGACTTGTCAGCCCAGTGAGGACATTACTTGCTAGCAAAAGGACAGACACACTTCATCATTAGTAACAGCCAGCTTGTTTATACTGAGTGTATATTATGTGACAAGTGAGTTATATACTACATTTAACCTTCACAACTCTATGAGGTAGTAATATAACCATTTTATAAATGAAGAAATAGAAGCCTGGAGAGATCATGTGTTTTACACATGTCTGTAAGTGGTGGAACTAGGATTTGAATCCAGCCATGTGGGGCTGAACCCAAGCTGTTGGATAAACTGCCTCTTCACCCACGGGCTTATGACAAAAATGCTTGTCAAATTGCTGGCTGACTCTAATCTGATCAGGTGCATTCCACCACCTCAGGGTAGCTACTGTCTGTATTCATAGGTGTAGCCTCTAAGCATTGAAAACAAAAAAAAAAACAAGCTGTTAGCCAGGAAGGACGCAAAGTATAAGGATTAAAGCAAAAACTTTGGCTAAATAGTTTTTTTTAGATTTGGGACCTCTGAGAAGGTCCTTAAAGTTCCAGACCTCTGCTTCTATATTTCAAACATGGGGATGATGCAGCCCACATCAAACACATCATTGGGGACACATAGGCAGAATAGGTGATGCTCTCATCATAGCTTTTGCATATAATGGGCATTTAGTGAGTGTTGAATGAATTTAGTTTCTCACTTCTGTTCATTACAGAAGCAAAACACCTGATCTCACCTAAACTCTAATCCTTCAAGGTCTGGCTTCCTTGACAGAGAAAGCCTACGAAAGTCGGGAAATTAAGTGCCAGTGTGATTATTTGTTCCAGAGCTAAAAATGAGTCTACAAGAACCAGACAGTAGGCTTCATTGTTGTTACCCAGCCAGGAATGATTTAGAAAACTGCAGCCATGTTTGGAAAGGACATGAAATAGACTAAGAAAGAGCATCTCGGTTCCTTTTAAGGAAGCATAATGTAATTGCTGAGGCTGAATTTGGTGGCAGTACAAAACATCATTCCTTCCTGTCCTGGTTCTTCATTCACCAATATTTAATGATGTGCATTCAGCCAGGTTCACTGTTTGCCTTAGAGGCACAGTGTAGGGTGCCCTCCTCCAGCTTCTCTTGGAGCAGAGTCAGGGTGATGAGGGATAGGCCAGACCTTCGCACTGTGGACATGTCAGCAGGACCCTCTAAAACCACTGGTGGTTCGTGAGGTCCGAAAGGTTGGCGACCGCTTCTTTAAAAGGGACCTTTGAATTGTGCACTTCCCTGGGGCTGGTTTCTCATCCACATTGGCTTTCCCCTTTCATCCTCACATCCTGGGCACAGTGGCTTGGTGGATGGAACTCAGTGCTTGAGTTCACTCAATACCAGGACATAATTACCCACTGCCTACCATTAGTTAAATAACTCTGTTTTATCTACTTTAAAGTAGAAATATAGATGTCTGTTTCCTGTTTTGCCTGAGAAGTGGTGTGAAATATTTAATATAATACTCAAGGAGCTTGGGGTGGTGAACATACAATATACAGATGGTGTATTATAGAATTGTACCCCTGAAACCTATATAATTTTATTAACCAATGTCATCCCAATAAATTCAATAAAAATAAAATACTAAAGAGCATCCTAAGCTTTTTGGATAAGTATATTGTCTCTACCAGGAATTTTTAAAGTTGTTATTATTTGCAAGTCTTTTTTGGACTGTTGTCTCCTTTGACATTCAAAACTAATATCTGCTACATACTGAGCTTTTCCACTTGGCAACCTCTCAGGATTTGCAGAGTTCCTCATAATTTTCTTGCTTACCTTGCTTTATGTAGGAACGCCAACAGGAACAAGAACAGAGTCTGGAAAAATTGATTAGTCTTGACAGAAAGGTATTGATTTAACCTAGTGAGCAGAGGGGTTGATCTGCTGTATCCTGTCTCAAACCCATGAACATCTGGGCAAAACCCTTCCTTTTCCACACCAGCTGCTTACACGACATGGTTTCCTCACACTTGTTTGGTTTAGAGACAACAGAGGACTGAAGTTTAGGGTGTCACTGCTCCATGTAGGGCAGGGTTTCCCAAGTGGGTTCGTGTTACTGCTTTCAACTTCTCTGGAGTTTGACTAGTCCTAGTCTCACTTTTATGGACAAAGACACTGAGTTTCAGAGGTTAAACCACACACCCAAGATCATCAGCTAGCAAGAGAAATGAAGACACAAGTCTCTCTGGCAGCATAAATCACCCCCACCATGGATTGCGGGAATTACTTCTTTCTTTAGTTCCACCCAAATCTGCTGCTCACATGCAGCCCTCCCTGTTGACACCTAAGTGCCTGCCTTGCTTGAACAAGGATGGCTCTCCTAAGAGGCCTAGGAGTTAAAAACCTCCTTGGTTCTACTTTTCTCCCATCCTGCTGTCAAAAATAACATCTGTACAGCTCCTTGCAGTTTACAGGCTATTTTTACTTATCTCTTTTGCTCTTATTTAAACTTCACAGCAATTTTGTGAGATAGGAAAAGCAAGAATTATCTCCATTTCCTTTTGAGGAAACTAGGCTTAGAGAGGTTAAATGACTTGCCCAAGGGAGGTTGTGTTGGAACCACAGAGGTCAGCCCCCAGGTCCTATCAGCTAATAAGTGGAGAATTGAGACTCCAACCCTGGCTTTCAGACTCCAGACCCTGTGCTTCTTGCCCTATAGCACCTGCCTTTGGTATCACACCCCCAGAGTGTGCCAGTCACATACATTAAACTGTCATCTCAGCCACAGCTGAACAGAGTGGAAGTATAGGCCCACAGGGTTCCATGGGTTCAAGGTGAGGGTATCCTACCACTGCAGGAGTTGGTGAGACTCTGATGATGAGGTTTCTGGCAATGTAGGAAAATGGTTTGGGCTCAGGACCAGGAGCTTGTTGGCAGCATCTCTAAGAATCTGGAGGCAGCACTGGGAAGACCCAGAGACTGGCTCTGAGGTTGGAGGAGGTCATGTCTTATAGATCTCTCCCCCATCAGGGCGTTGTCACCCACTGCTTTCTTCCCCTTCTCTGTGCAGAATACACCTGGGGCCTTCAAAAGTGACCGTAGATGAGCACTTACCAACAGAAGCCTATAATGCCGAGAAACGCAAGCTTTCTCAGAAACGGAAGACACTGGTTAGTGGTGATGTCCTGTTGGAACCCCAGATGTCAGACCCCAGATCTTATCTTTTCCCTCTTTGCAATCCAAAAACACCACCCACCTGAAACATGCCCCATCAAACAGCTTCTCCCACCAGGGGATTTTAGTTCACAGAGGCCAGGGCCACCAGGCTCTGGGGTAAGAATGTGCACACTTGCCACACCTCATCCCAGACTCCTCAGCAAAGAGAGACTCAGCCCGTGCCCATGGACACCCTTCACCTGCAGCTCAGCATTTTGGAGTGGACTCACTTCTTCATCCAGCCTGCCGTGTGCCAGGAACTGTGCAGATCTGCCAAGGTCCTTCAGGGCTGTGACTTTTTGTCTTTATGACCTAGGTGCCTGATAAGGTACTTGAGTGGTTGGCATATGTGCTCCAGAAATACTACAAGGAGGTGTGTGAAGACAGAAGTGAAAGGGTGTCCCTCCATTGCGTTGTGGGCTCGGGGTTGGAAGTAGAGACTCTATAGAAGCCTCAGAAAACTTCCTTCCTTCATTCCTGTTCTTTAAAGTTTTTATATAAATATGAATGCTGTCTTATTAAGAATTTAAGGCTTTTGTTGATATGATCATAAGATTGTTATTTAATCAGTAAACAGCCATTTTCCAAATCTCACATATTAAAAAAACACATTTGAACGAACTCATAACTCCAGCTCACAGTGGAGCACTGTGGGCTGTGTGTTGTTTTTCCTCCTGTGAGTATATTTTGTGTGGAGGATTTGGGGACACAAGGACCACACACTTTGTGAGGTTGGAGACACCCAACATGGGAACCTTGACTCCAAGGAGGTAAAGGAGGTAATGTGGACTCTTTGGGGAGACCAAGTACAGCCATGGCCCCACAAGACCCAATGACTTAGGATTCCCACTCCCAGTTCCTCCTCAGCTGCCACCTACTCAGTGGACCTGGGGTGGGGCTCTTTCCACTCCTTATCTTCTGTGGGGCGGCTGCTACTCTGGGCTCAACCACCAGGGGGCATTGTTCCTTCCTGCCGTCCTCACACCCCCAGGCCGCCCTTCCCATTTTCACCTGCAGGGGGAAGCAGAGAGCTTGTAGCACCAGGAACCTCACCTTCTAGCTACCAGCTTGCAGAGGCCTTCCTAGCTGTTAATAACCAGGCCAAGAAGCAGCACATGCCCAGGAATCAAAGTAGGGTGGCCACGTTTTCTCCTGGCAGAAATGGCAGAACACGTGGACTGGCCTATGAAAGTATGAAAAACTTTTTAAAATTGATTTCAGAGAGAAAGGGAGAGGGAGAGAGAGACAAACATGAATGATGAGAGAGAATCATTGATCCGCTGCCTCCTGCACACCCCACACTGGGGATGGAGCCCACAACCTAGGATTGTGTCCTGACCATGACCTTCTGGTGCACTGGATGATGTTCAACTACCTGAGCCACACCCCACACCGACCAGGGCAGAGCATTCTTGACCCACGGAAAGCATGTGTAAACATATATAACCATAGAGCAACATTTTTGTTTTTATTATGTCTTTCATCCATGCTAAATTATTGTGCTCCCTTATATATTTATTACACAATATTTACTAGTGCACCTTAAGATTGTGAAGAGTGTGACATACCATACCATTGATTCTGGAGATACAGAGATAGATCAATCCAGACTCCCCCCAGAGGCTGGAGTCCTCTCTGGGAGCTAGCAACATGGCTTACTATATACTAGTCTTTCCAAAATTATTTAGGGAAAGAATGAATGATCCCAAGATAAGATAAACATGTAGAACTAATGGAATGCAAGGAAGAGCCCAAGGAGACAGTGGCATTTCCACACTTAGGAGAGTCAGGAGCCAGTTACCATTAGCCTGGAAGGACTCCTAGAACCTGGATATGCTGCGCATGGAAGGTAGGCCTGGCCTCTCCATCCCAGAAGATCCTGGCTGGGCTCAGGGCCACAGAGGGGGCTTTAATATGAAATTCAGCATTGAACTCAGTAATTCCATTTTCTTTTAAATTTGAAAGTAATGTATGTGCATTGTAGAAAATTTTGAAAAATGTACAGTTATAGACAAATAAGGATCCATAGGCCTGTCATTAGAGAATAATAATGGCTGGTAGCCTTCTGGATTATTTCCTCCATCTTTTTTTGTTTTTTCATTTTTACCTGCTTTCCCCCTGATTGCAGGCCTTAATTAACCTTTAGAGCTATAGCATTATATTTAGTATAGTTCCATGTTTAACCTCCTGGTAAACAGTTCATGGCTGCTTAACAATTTTCTATTTTTAGGCACTTAGGAGCTTTCTAATTTTGTCACAGTTATAGGAAGGCTTTGAGGACCGCCCTTGTGCATAAAGCTGCTGCTCCATCTCTGTCCTCCTCTGCACTGGCTGCCTCAGCCTCAGCCAGGCTGCTCCAAACTCCTGCTGTTTCCCTGAGAAGTTGGTGCTACCCAGGCAGTTTTTGTGTCGTCCCCCCACCACCACACACCGTCTCCCAGAGTGGACTCAGCTCCGCCCATGCACTCATTTAAGCTTTACTGAACATTACCGACATCATCACCTCCTCCTTTAAAATGACTGGCCAGAGGCAGATGCCATTTTAGGTTTCTGCCCATCTGTTCACAGATGCCCTGAATAAATTTTCTTCATACCGTCAAAAAATAAAATATGCCCAGCCACGTAGGCTCATTGGTTGAGTGTCAATCTATGAACCAGGAGGTCACAGTTCAATTCCAGGTTGGGGCACATGCCTGGGTTGCGGGCTCCATCCCCAGTGCGGGAGGCAGCCGATCAATGGTTCTCTCTCATCACTGATGTTTGTCTCTCTCTCTCCCTTCCTCTCTGTAAAAAATCAATAAAATATATTTTAAAAAAATAATAATAATATAAATAAATAAATAAAATGACCAGCCACCCCTGGGCCCCTGCATTGGCTTCAGTCACTACCTGCTGGCTTGTGATTATCAGCTCACCTGTCACCCCAGTCCAATCATACCCTCATTTTTCCTCATGTTCCTAGAACCCAGCAGGGGCTGGCATGTACTGCGGACCCAGAAATGTGTGATGAATGAATGGATGACTGGATGAACTCTAGAAGTGGTCTTCACTGGGCCAGAGGTCATTTTTTTCCCTCCTATATTTTGAGTATTTCATGAAAAGATTAATAAAACAAGCCCATATATACTACTATTGCCTCTCCCTACCCCTGCTTAAGGTTCAAAATAAGATACCATTCCTTGAGGGCACTCCCACCACCTTCCTTATCTCCTCCCCCAGGGTATACAGGCCACTCTCCTCCCAGGGTCCACAGCTCACCCTGCTGCCATCTCTGCAATCTTGTTTGTGTCAGTCCAGGCCTGAGGCTGGGCCTGCGCGCGCACATTCTCTCTCTCTCTCTCTCTCTCTCTCTCTTTCTCTCTCTCTCTCCCCCTCTCTCTCTGTCTCTTTAGCTAGACTGTGTTATGGGGGCACGGGCTGGTCCTGCCCAGTACTCACATCTGTTTTTAGAGTGCAGGTATCCAATACAAACTGACATACCTTCAGAAGTGAATAGCTGACCTTTACTGAGTTCTTAGGAGGCGCCTGAATCTGTAACTCACTCTTCGTGCTTTCTCATTGTGTCCTCAAATCAATACAGTGTGATGGGAACTACAACCATCCCCATTTCACAGATGCAGAAACTGACAAGTTAAGCCTGTGGTCACACAGCTAAAAAGGGTGATCTGGTATTTGAACTAAGCCCCCTATCATTTTATGACCCACCATCATAATTATGAACTATATTAAGAGGTGTTGGGGGTATCAATAAAAACATATTTAAAAAAAGATGTTGGGGGAAAATCACAAGTGGGAGGAGGAGGATGGAGAGGAGCGGCAGGAAGGGAAGCAATATTGCCATAGTAACCCCACCTGTCCCTTCCTGCAGACCTTGTGTCAGTCCTCCATTTGTGGCTACCTGTCCCCATGGCCCACATACGCCAGTGGCCAGACCATTCTGCATAATCGAAAGCCCTGTTCAGATAACTACTGGAAGAAAATAGGGTAAGCCAGGGTCAGCCAGATGGTGGGTGGGCTGGTACAGACCCCATATTGGGCCCAGAGAGAGAGCTCAGGGGGGTGTGCTGCCCCAGACTGAGAATGCGAGGGCCTTGAGCCGTGACCATTACAACAGCCCACCCCCCCCCCCCCCCCCCCCCCCCCGCCCCCCGTAGTGGCTGGAAGCAGAGTATCCTGGGCACTACCAAGCCGAGGTTCCTGGAGCAGCTAGAGAACTACCTACGCAAGGAGCTCCTCCTGCTGGATCTGAGCGCGGATTCTTCCCAGGAGCTGAGGCTACAGGTCAGAGCCACAGAATTACTGTAGGGAGGGCAGGGAGAGGGGCAGGAAGAAACCTTACTCACTAGCACTGAGCACTTGAGACCTTCAGGAGAGACCAGCCACTCCCAGTCTTTTGGGTTCCCTTTCCTGATAAGAGAAACATGTTCTATGACAAAGCCAGTGAGCAGGAAAGGCTGCCTGTATGGAACCAAACCTCTCCTGAGGCTTGAGTTTCACCTGAGTCAGGTGCATGGGTGCTGCCTCCAGTCCCTTCAGCTGTGATCCCTAGTGCCCAGCTTGGGTCATTGGATATCAGTGACAGTTTGGCAAGCAGGGGTCCTACAGTGTCCACCATTCCAGTGACAACAGCCCCAAGCTCCAGGAACTTAGCCCAGATACATAAAGAGAAATGTAGATGCAGCCTAGATTCTGGTACGTACTAGGGAGGGAATTGCCAAATCCCTACTGAAACAGGGATGGTGATGGGGAATGCCTCACTTCTGACTTAGTCACTGATGGAAGCATTTGCTGAGCACCATCTGAGTGCCAGGTCCTGGGTGGGGCCTTATATAAGAGCACACAGGCTGAAAGTAACTTCCCAACAAGGAAGCAGAATCTTGGAGAAGCCATATGGTTATGAAGTGGTGGGGCTGGGATTCGAACTCAGGGCTGATTTGGGAGCCTGTGCTCATTCCAGTATACAGTGCTGCCTCTAAAATCTTCCTGTGTGTCTAAGGGAGATGGGAAACCACACCTCTACTTGGAGGTCAGAATGCAAGGTCAGAGCCTTTGAATCTTCTCCAGCTCCCACAGGGCTATAGGATGGGGGTGGGTGGGTTCTGGTGGGAGTCCAACTGAGGCACAGTGCATGGAGGCTGGCTGGCTGCTTGGAGAGCCAGAGAGGGGGCTCGGGTACAGAGGCAGGAGATCCTGACCCAGGTCATCTGCCCCGTCTCAGAGAGAGCACCAGGAGAGGCCTCCGGAGAGCAATTGAGAGGAACAGAGCTGCCCCTCAGCTCCCTGGCACGAGGAGAGACTTGGGTGATGCCTGGGGCCTTTACTTGAATGTGGGCCACCTGGCAGCTTCAAGCTAGAATTTTTCTAAGCCAAGTAAAGATAAACTCAGGCTCCACTGAGGGTGGCACCTATAGGTCAGGCAGGAGGTAACAGGTTCCTTTTTCTTACCAGCCTTACAGAGAGATTTTTGAGTTCTTCATAGAGGACTTCAAAACGTACAAGCCACTGCTCTCCTCCATCAAGAATGCATATGAGATGATGCTGGGTAAGACTGCAGCCTCCCACCTGGGCCCAGACCGGAAGAGGCAGAGGACTCTGCTCTGACCTTCTGGGGCTCTGCAGCAGCTCTCAGGCAGCTACTAATGGAGCCTTTTTTTGGATTTCAGAGAGGAAGGGAGAGGTAGAGAGATATAGAAACATCAATGATGAGAATCATTGGTTGGCTGCCTCCTGCATGCCCCACACTGGGGACCGAGCCCGCAACTCAGGCATGTGCCCTTGACTGGAATCGAACCCGGGAACCTTCAGTCCGAAGGCTGATGCTCTATCCACTGAGCCAAACTAGCTAGGGCCTAACTGAGCCTTGAGGTCATCAAGCCCTGCTTAGCCTTTTTGCTTCCACTGTCCTAAGACAGGGCACCTGGCCATCTCCTATCCTTGGGAAGCATGGAGAGGCAGTATCTGTAGGAAACAGAGCATCTTTCCCATTGAGAGTGATCTCGGGAGGGAGTGAGTGCCTCTGAGAAGTAAGAAGGCTCCCCCACCAGGCTCAGGAGGTGCTAGGCCTAGTGCAGCTGCTGGAGTAAGGGGGAAAGGGCATAGGCGAGACCCCAGTCCTCATCTGGACTCTGTCCTGCTGTAAAAGCAAGTGCAAGAAGGCCCTAAGTAGGGACCACAAGGCATGAGTATACTCCTAGAGTTTTCAAGGGACTTAGCCACTCACTGCGACCTTAGGATTAGTTTCTCCTGGCTGTTCTCCATGGCCCTAAAGGGTCTCTCCCACCTGTCCCTGCTTAGCCCACCAGAGGGAGGAGATTCGGGCTCTGGAACCCCTGAAGGCCAAGCTTGTTACAGTGAATGAGGACTGCAATGAAAGGATCCTGGCCATGAGGGCTGAAGAGAGATCCGAAATCTCTATGCTGAAGAAAGAGAAGATGAGTTTGCTAAAACTCATTGACAAAAAGAATGAGGAGAAGATCTCATTGCAGAGCGAGGTGAAAGGGAGCACTATGGTGACCAGCTCCCTGAATCCCTGCCACCCCCACCCCAGGGATGACCCTAGGCCTTGGGACTGAGGTGACTCCCTAACTCCCTCCACCCTTCTGCCTGGAATGACATACTGAGCCACCACCTCCTCAGAGCTCCTGCTACCTCCACACTCTGCTTTGGCTCAGCACTAGCTCAGTGTGGCCCCAAATGCCAGCAAAGTTCTGCTCCTTAACTGCCAGACTTTTTCCACAGGACACATCAGCCCTTTGCTGATTCAAAGTGGCCACTCTTCCTCTAGCTTTCTTGTACCCAGGCCTTGATGGGGCCACTCAGCACACACCCCATCCCCCTGTGGTGACTTAGCCCCTGACCATGCAGCCACCTTCCCAACAGGTGACCAAACTGAGGAAGAGCTTGGCTGAGGAGTACCTGCGCTACCTCACCGAGCGAGATGCCCGCAAGATCCTCATCGCAGACCTGAATGAGCTACGGTACCAGCGGGAAGATATGTCACTAGCCCAGTCCCCAGGTAAACCCAAGGTGGGGTTCTCTCCCCTGAGGAAGTGCTGGAGAGAAGTTGCTCTTATTACTCACTCCCATTCATTCAACTCTCCTAATATATGCTCATTGTGTACCCATTCATGATGGGAGATGTTCCTGCTGCCACCTGGGTCTATGGATCTTCTGAGCTGGACTGAGAATCAGACTCATTGTTTAAGTGGGATACAATTTCTGGCAGCTGAGGCAGCCTGCACAGGATAGACCTGGTACCCCTTGTCCTGGGTTTCTCCAAGTCCTCAGCTATAGGCTGGTAACACTGTGGGGAAGACCCAGGGATTCCCAAGCATGGAGAGCAGGAGGACCTGGGATATGCCCCAAGGGACACTCTAACCCTGACCTGGGCTATAGGCCCCAGAGCCAGGGTGATTCGAGCTGCCAGGCCTCCTGGCAGGCGTCTGGGGGGAGGACCCCGTGAAGTTAGCACTGGCTCTGAAGATGACCCGGCAAGACCTGGCGCGCACGCAGATGGAACTCAACACCATGAAGGCCAATTTTGGAGATGTGGTGCCCAGGAGGGATTTTGAAATGCAGGAGAAGACCAACAAGGATCTGCAGGAGCAGGTGCTGGTGGGCAGGCAAGCCAGGCAGGTAGGGCAGGGTCATGCAGGTGGGTAGCAAGGACCAATCACCTTGCCCACAGCTGGAAAGCCTGAGAGATGACTATGAAGAGGTCCGCAAGGAGCATGAGATACTGCTGCAGTTGCACATGACCACACTGAAGGAACGGGACCAGTTTTACACTGAGCTGCAGGAGATCCAGGGTACCTCCACACCACGGCCTGACTGGATCAAGTGCGAAGGTAATGATGGCCACCGAAGGTAATTGGGGTTCCAAGGACTGCTCAAGTGCACGGTCCAGACTCCAGCTTCCTCTCTCCACCTGCAGATGTGGTGGCTGGGGGTCCAGAGCGCTGGCACATGCTGGCCGCGGGCAAGAACAGTGACCAGCTGGTGGATGTGCTCCTGGAGGAGATTGGCGAGGGGCTGCTCCGGGAGAAAGACTTCTTCCAGGGTCTGGTAGGGGAGCCCCGGGGCTCAAGAGACTTGTGGCCAGTCAGGATGGCCAGGCCTTGCTGCTGAGAAGACTTGAGGTTCTGGGGGAACCCTCTGGGACTCTGCCCTGCTTAAGGTTGGGGCCACAGGTGAGCTCAGTGATGGGCTGACTCTCTCTCTTCCAGGGCTATGGGGAATCTATCCTCCCCTCTTTCCTTCGGTTTGATGGCGTTGTGCAGAATAAGAAGCCAACCAAGAAGGATGTGATAAACCTCCTCAAGGATGCCTGGAAGGAACGTCTCACTGAGGAACAGGTCAGATCTCACCAGCCATTAGCCAGGCATGGCCTCGAGTTATCCTGGGAGGGGTGTGGGGAGGATTCCATCAAGGTGCTAGGAAGCAGGGTGGAGGGCCAACTAACCATGGGATGGCTAACAAAGCAATCTTCCCCTACACTGCAGAAAGATAAGTTCTCAGATTTCTTCTTCAAATTCCTGGAGTCTCGCTTTGGGTCTGATGCCATGGCCTGGGCTTACACGATTTTTGAAAATATTAAGCTCTTCCGCTCCAATGAGCTCATGCGTCAGTTCTATGACATCTTGATGGAAAAGGTGAGCTTGGGTCTGGCCCTCCACCCTTTGTCCCCAGCATAGGCCAGCTGTCTTTACCCCTCCAAGATGCAAGTTAGTGCTTTCCTCCCTGCAGAAGAGCGAAAGTGTGTACATCAAGCAGAAGGAGACAGTAACACAGCTGCTGAAGGAGTTGACAAATGTTGACAATCAGAATGAGGGGGTACTAACCATGGAGCAGTTAAGGTAAGAGGCTAGCCAGGCCACCTCCAAGTCCTGCCTGACATCCCCTCTGGCCAGGCTCCCAGATGTGCAGGGGAAAGGGGAGCCTCGTGGGAAGGGCCACAGCCTCAGTGCTGGCTACTTTTGAGCACTAGTGGGGCTGGCAAAAGGGTGCAGGGACACGGATGGGCAGGCCTCAGCCAGGCCCTTGTGTCTCTCACAGCACTGTGCTCAAGAGTACCTTCCCCTTAAAGAAGGAAGACAAAATTCAGGAGCTGATGGAGGCAGGGGGCTGGCATACCAACAGCAGCAATGCAGACTTGCTCAACTACCGCTCATTGTTTGTGGAGGTGGGTGGGTAAATGGGGGGGTGGTGGTGTCCAGGAACTTGCCCAGCCTGCCCTAGTCTGTTAGACTCTAGCCCATGTGCCATCATCCTGTCTTGGCCCCTCCCAGGATGAGGAAGGCCAGACTATGCCCTTTGTGCACAAGCTGTGGGACCAGTACATGTCTGAAAAGGATGAGTACCTACAGGAGATAAAGCAAGCGCTGGGCCTGGAACTGTGAGTGACCCTGGGGCCCTCAGCCATAGACAAGTCCCACAGACTGGGCCACAGGGTGGCATCTCAAGCCCCTGGGTCTCCCTGTGTACTAAGCTTGCTGCCGGGCATTATATATTGCTGAAGCCTGGGAGAAAGGCATCCTGAGGTCTTGGGTGTGTGAGAGGGGTGTCAAGGCCTATCTATCTCTCCCTTTTACTATGGGGCAGCCGTGAAGAAGTGACCCTACCCAAATTACGTGAGACCCTGATGATCATCGATCCCAGCCTGGACAAGCAGACCCTGAACAGCTATTTGAACCAGGCCTTCCAGGTCCCTGTGATAGAAGCGCCAGAGGAGAGTGAGGATAATCAAGAGAACGTTGTGGCACAGGTCCGGACTGTCCTGGAACGACTTCAAATAATCGACGTCAGGCGCAAGGGACCTCGGGAGCAGGAGCCTGCAAGCTAGGACCACTGTGGGCAGCTAACCCCTGACTTTTAGTATAAAATTGTTTGTCTGAACCCATGCTATTCTCTGGGTTATGCTGGGGAGTTAAGGGGAGGAGCTGGTCCCAGGATATTTATCAAAATACAACAGATTCTCTCTGTGACATTTATTTATTTGTTTATTTATTTATTCCTCACCCAAGAATATTTTTTCCATTGATTTCTAGAGTGTGGAAGGGAGGGAGGAGGGGGAGAGAGATAAACACCAACGTGACAAAGACACATCAATTGGTTGCCTCCTGCACATGCCCCTACCGAGGCTAGGGAACTGCAAAGGAGGTAAGTGCCCTTGGCTGTGAATTGAACCTGCAAATCCTCCACGGGTCGACACTCTACTGAGAAAACCGGCCAGGGCATGACACTTTATTGATGGTGAGGCACGGTGAGGAGACCTGGAAGAGTATGTGGGGCCAAGGGGCCCCTGGTGGGGACAGGGCAGGTGTTGAAGTCTGACCACTACTGGGCAGGGAAGACGGTATTGCCACTGAATGCACAAGGGATGAGGAGCTGCCGGTACTCCAGGGGCAGGTGCTGCTCCACAAGCACATGCAGGGAAACTCGGTCAGTGACCAGGCCCTGCCTGCAGCAGAAGAGGATGGAGACAGACAGAATCAGTGTCAGCATTTCCACACACAGAACCTCCCTGCATCCGCCCACTTACCGTCGCATCAGCAGCTCCAGGTCCTCTAGCCTCACAGTCTTGCGGCCAGCGTGAGCAGCAAATACATCCAGGTCATCGCAAAGACGTTGGAAATACTTGTCCAGGCTGCCAAGGTTGGGGTACAGCAGACTGAACAGACTGTTCATAATGTGAGGGGCTCCTCTCCCCGCCAAAGAGTCCAGGACTCACCATTTCTCCACCATCTCAAGAGCCTTCTTCTCCATGGGCATTTTAGCATAGAAGCTAAAGAGCTTAGCATAGTGGCTCAGTCCCATCTTATAAGGATCTTGTCGGAGTCTGGGGCCAGCAGTTTGGAGCCGGGTAGGAAGCCTGGCTGATAGAGGCTCCAGAGGCTCTGAAGATAAGCTGGGGGCAGGAATGACCTGCTGCCTGAAGAGGCCCCTAATCAAAGATAAATCTTGCTGGCTCCTGCTAAGACTGGGCCCTGTGCTCCTTGGCCAGCTTGGACCAACAACTCCAACCATCTGCTGGGGGGTGGGAGGGAATGGGGACAAGAGGCCACGTAGAGGCCTGGTCTTTCCTTGGGGCCCTGATCCTCCACCGTCTGGACCCAATGTCCCTATTTAGCCTCATCATACAAACTGGTACTTGCTCAGGCCCATGACCCTTAGGCCTTGGCATGGACATTCCCTCTTCTCAGCACATTGCTGCCTGTCTGATTCTGCTAATCCTCCTCCAGGAAACCGTTTCTGGCTATATACTGACCTGGCCACTTCCCCCTACCCAGGCTCCTCTCAGCCCCTAGAAGCAGGCACCAGGACAGATGTGCTCTCCGTGAGTACCACCCAGCCCACCTAAGGGTGCTCTGCTGGTTAATCATCTGCATACCTGTAGGAAGAGGGATAACCCTGTGGTGCCCAATGCCAACCACAGTGCCTGCCCCTTCCCAAGAGGCCCATGTGGAACAAGGTCATGGAATCTTACACTGCAGTGCTAGTCGGTGGGGCTGGCTCAAGGAACTCCAGTTGCCTGGCCCGAGGAAACTCCGGGGTGCTGGAGGCCAACTCTGGCCTTGCTGCAGAAAAAGGGCAGAGTTACAAGGAGGGCTCATTCCTAACTGTCTCACACAACCCTGAAGACCTACAGCCTCCTTGTCCTGTTCACTGAGGGCCCCATCTAGCTCCAGCCAACCAAGCAAGGGGCACCCCAGAGTCTCCCTGGGCCAACTCTTCCTGTGCTCAGAAAGAGAACTTAGCCCGGTCGGCATGGCTCAGTGGTTGAGCATCAACCTATGAACCAGGAGGTCATGGTTAGATTCCCAGTCAAGGCATATGCCTGGGTTGTGGGCTTGATCCCCAGTGTGAGACAGCGTGCAGGAGGCAGCCCATCAGTAACTCATTGATGTTTCTGTCCCCCCTCTCCCCCTCCCTTCCTCTCTGAAATCAATAAAAATGTATTTAAAAAAAAAGAAATAGAACCTAGATAAGGCTTTCCTCCAAGGCCAGGGGCTGAACACAACTGTTACCCCACTCACCCCCTGATCCCTGCACTGGCCCCTTACCTGTCCTACCTTCAGTGTCCTTATCCCCTGAAGATCCTTCTAGCTCCTTTTCCTCAATAGCCCCCCAGGATCCTTCTGCTTCTGCCACTTCTGTGTGTGCCTCAGGCTCTTCTGCTCTGGCAGATGCTTGTGCTCCTGTTGCTTCCTTCACTTCACTCAAGCTCATGCTTTCTTCCATTCTTTCCTCTACCTCCTCACCAACTCCACCCAATAAGGGCTCTAGTCCATCTACTCCAGAGGTACCACTGCTGGTGTTCGGGAAGCGCATAGCAAGGGCATCAACCTCCTCTGCCTTTCCAGCCAGAAGCTGGGCTGGTTTCCCAGGACCTGAATCAAGGGGAGAGAATATAGACCAAAGCAGTAGGTCAAGGCTGTAGCTCTGAAAAGGGTAAAGATGGAATAGTAAAACCTGTAGGGAGTGGTTACAGGGTTAAGCTGCGGACTGACCTGTTGGCAAAGCCACAAACAAGTCCCAGCTTAGAGGGCACAGCCCTCTTAGCATAATTAGGCTTGACCTTATGATGGACCTCCCTAGATCTCATCTGGGAAGCTAATGAGCTGTGGGAGGTGCAGCAAGCACTGCCAAAACAAGTGAAACTAACAAGAACATTGTAACTATGGTGACCACTACCTTATTTACCTCTGGCTATAAAATAAAGGCTCAGTTTGCCCTCTGGATCCCTCTCTGTGGCCTTAGCCAGGCACAGGAAGATCCACCTAGACCCAGCTTATTCTCTTTGTCTTTTCTAAATCCTTCGCCGCCATCCCTTCAGGCTCACCGAACCCTTGGCTGTGCTGGCCCCGCACAAAAACCCAACCTAACCCTCAAGGAGAGAAGGCCAAAGGTACTGGTTTGGAGTCTCCTGGCCTAACACTGACTCTACCTTTGGATGGAGGAGAGATCAACAGCCATAGGACTCTGACGGGCACACATATGGACCTGAGGAAGGGAAACCACCAGTGCCAACGCTTGCCCGAGCTTGGCTTGCCTCCAGGCCACCTGTCCCACATACTCACTGTTGTTCTGCAGCCCAGGCCCACTGCTCCGTGTCCTGCGACTGACAGTCCTCTCAGCAGAGAGAGAGGGGTAGGGGAGGGAGTGGTGCACACTGGGGGAACGGCCAATCAAAGGCTGGGAGAAAGGCTGGGTGTCCTCCAACACGGTGTCCGTTGGCAGGGTAGCAACAGGGGTTCTGTCACCTGGAGATCAAGGACCAGATGGCACTCAATGTATTCCAGCCCCACCTGCTGCTACCCAGTCACCACAGCCTGGTCATAGGGGGGCCCCATAAGTCTAACCCAAGTAGCCCTCCGAGAAAGAAGACTACATAGCAGTCTAAGCCTTATCTCCCTAATACAGCTCTCCTTGCTTACCTTCCTGCTCCTTAGCCTGGCACTCCCAGCTCCCCTGCTTGCACCCAAACTGCTCATCCACGCCTCCACTCTCTACTTTTTACTCTGCTCCCTCTGCCTGGAACCCGCCTCTTACCCTACTGACCTTGTCTTCTAGAGTCAGGTTCCCAGGTCAGCTTGAATGGCCAGCTGATCCTGAAACTTGGCCCCTTTCAACCTCCCAACAAACTCTAGCCACCCCTTTCCTACCCTCGGCCTTGTAGCTCCTCAAGGACATGGGGACCGGGAAGACCCTGAGGAACTAAGACGAGGTCCCACTAAGACAAGAGAACCTTATGGAAAGAAAGCGGAAACTCCTTACACTAGTAGGCCTATTGGCCAGGCTTGTTCACTGCCCTTGATCCAATAAAGACGGGAGCAACCCTAGACTCAGCAGCACCTTCTATCTGTCCTGGGGGAAAGCTTTCCCCACAGGCTGCAAGAGGGAAATCGCAACCTTACCTGGAAAAGCCGTGGCCACAGAAGTATCTTGAAGATCCTGCAAAAATATACCCACATCGACAGCTCGGCGTGTAGGAGGTCTGCGGGCCAAACCAGGCCTCTGCACTGATTGTGGCAGGAGAGGCGTGGCAAAGGTCAGGTTGAGGGAGCTAGTGGGAGAGGAGTCACAAAGGAAAGTCAGCTACTAAGGCCTAGTTCCCCACCTCTCATTTCTCTACCTGCCCTGGTGCTCTCATCTTCTAGAACACAGCTACCATGCTGTTAATTGGCAGTGAGCAGTATGGTCAGAATCTAGTCCGCACCTTTCCCCCCAAGCCTCTCCTCCACCAACCCCCAGGAGGGCAACTGCACCTGCTGAGAGAGGAGGCACCAGTATTCCCAGGAGGCTCTGTAACAGGACCTAAAAAGAAGAAACTGTAAGTTACAGGCTCAGGCTAGCCCTCCCTCAGGCCTCCTATGCCTCTACAGAAAATAGGAGAGAGAGGGTGGCCATAGGTATTGTCCAGGGCCTCACCTTGGGAGAGAGGCAGCTCCTGGTCCATTCCTTGCTGAAACTCTGACAATCTCAGCCTCTTCTTCCTCCTGCCAGAAGTCAACCGACCTGGAGCCAAGGTTGTGGGGGCGTTGAGCTCAGGAAGTTGCAGTTCCAGACTACAAGAATGGAACTAATCTCAGACAGGCCAGGAGACCCACATATGGCTTTGAGGACCTCCCAAGAAGGCTTCCTCATCAGAGCTGCCTAACAGCCTAGCCCCAAGGCGGGGAATTCACGGTGCACCTGCCAGGACTGCTTTCCCGCCTGGAGAACTGGACCACCTGGACCACCTGCGGTGCTGGCACTGGCTTCACTGCTGACTCTGGCATGACCATGGAAGATTCCGGGGCTGTAGAAATAACAAGAAGAGGGTGGGGCTGGGAGGGCAAGCTGTCCTGAATAAGGGGATACCGTGGGACCGGTGCCTAACTCTGCCCAGCAGGCCAGCGCCCACTTACCGGTTAACAGGATATTCTCAAGCAGAGTCCGGGGTGTCTGTTCCTTCAGCTGTCCCCTGGTTTGAATGTGGGCCAATCTGCCAATAGACTTTAGGCAAAAGCAGGTTGCCTTGGGATTCCCTCCAGGTGGGCTCAAGAGCAGAGCTAGACTTCAGGGGCCCCCGAAGGCAGCGCAGCCCTACAGTGGTCAGTGGTTTGGGCACTCACCCTGGCTCTGTGGGGCTGCCGCCCGGCAGTTGTCTTTGTTTGGCTCCTCAACCTCATAGAGAAAGGTGTTCCCAGCGGGGTTCTCTGGACCCTGTATAAAGACCAGCGGCTCTGAGAATTATGTAGTTAAAGGCGAACTAGGCGATGCAGAGACATGCCTTCATCAGGGATCTGAGCCTGCAGACTTTTTCTCTCGGGGCCAGGGACCCAGAAGCCTCCTGTCCTTCCCACAGCCCGTTCCAAGCTCTACGCCACCAGGGTTGTGGGCGAAAGGGAGCCCACGGGGTATGGGAAGGGGGAGAATATGACCCAGTTCAGACACAGGGGCTGAGAAAGGCTTCACAGAAGTGACTCTGGCAGGAGGGGTTAGCCACACAGACCAGAGGACTCATTGGAAGAGGATCCATTCCAGCCATGAAAATAACAACCTAAGAAAAAGATACTTATGTTTAAACTTGCTGGGGACTGACAGCAACCTCCGCGTGGATTACTCTGGCCCTCGTCTCTCCAGTCCAATCCCTCTGATGCCAGAGCCACATAAAGATTCCCAAGGGCACAGCTCGCACCTCAAGGACGTAGGTCTAACACCCGTAGCGAATGGCTTTCCATTGCCCATAAAGGAACTGCACCCTCTGCACCGTGAGGTCAGCTCGTCACAGCCGCCACCCGCTGACACCCACCAAGTCAGGCCAAATCCCGGTTCCCTAGCAAAGCACCCTTCCCCGTCCCTGCCTCCCCTCCGCCCGGGACCACCCCGGACCCCCCGGGAAGCAGTGTAGGGCAGACGCCTGGACACTCGGGGCGGGTTGGGGAGGGAGTGGCCCGGAGAACGGGGCAGGAAGCCGGCTTCTGAGCGCCCACCCTGCACTCCCAGGGAGGGACCGCCCCCAACGCGGGCACCGCTGAACTCTCGGCGGCCTGGAGGCCCGACGGGTGGGGCGCACACAGCGGACCCAAACCCAGACAAGGGAGTGGAACCGGTTCCCCGAGCCTTGGGCTCCGCAACTCTCTGAGGCTCAGTTTCCTTCTGCAGACTGTGTCAGCGCCGGACGACACCGACACCCCGCCCGCCAGGTCCTGCGGCGGCTCCCGTGCCGGGCAGCGCCTCACATACCCGGCCCGAGTGCTCTGGCGTCGCCGCGGAGTGCGCGGGGCCTCGGTATCCAGCACGCGCCGCAGCAGCGTTCGCGTCGTAGGCTCATTGTCGGAGATGTCGCCGTCCGCCATCCTCCCGGCAGTCCGCCCGGCTTTCAACCGCTGCCGTAGCCGAGGCAGCCACCTTCCCGCCGCCGCTTTTGAGCCTACTCTCGCGAGACTGCCGCACAGCTCCACGGGAATTGTAGTTCTAGCCTCACCGTCCAGGGGCGAGGGGCGTGTGCAAAGGTGCCTGCAGGTTCTGAATTTGGAGGCAGTTTTACCGAGGAGTGATCCTGGACACGTGTGTGCAACCAGTCGAAGCCTGGTTTCCTCATCTGTAAGCTGAGGAGGAGACCCACCTTACCACGGGCTTGAAATGATTCAGTGAGATAAAGTTTAACTCGGGATTTGACACGTATTAAGTCAGGCCATCAATAAATGGTGGTCACTTATTATTAGAATCTCTCTCATAACCCCTTCTCCCTCTCGGAAGGTGAGGAGAGACACTTGGGGGAAGAAAAAATAGTCTCATTCTATATGAGATTTGGTCAGATTTGCATTTGTAAAGACCACTTTGTCTGTAGGTTCACTATCAAAAGAGGCCAATTTGTAGGCTCCCAGGCTAGTGGGCTGTTTGTGACCCATCAGAGAAGCTTTGATCTCCAAACATGTGCAATTTTGAGATGAACTTCAGCTCTCAATAGTTCTGTCATATTTTTCACTGATTGACAGCCCACTCCCCTTTCTTAAATTTTCATGGGAACTGATGTAGAACTTGAGCTCTGAGTCTCCCATGCTGTTTTTTTGCTCCTAGATCAGGTGTATAGTATCAGTTACTTGGACAGGCATGGGCATATTTGTGCTCGTGTTAAAAAATAAAGCAAAGAGCCTTTCCCTGCCGATAGCACTCTCGCAAACATGGTGAACGTTCCGAAAACCCGCCAAACTTTCTGTAAGAAGTGTGGCAAGCATCAACCCCACAAAATAACACAGTACAAGAAGGGCAAGGATCCTCTGTATGTGCAGGGAAAGCAGCATTATGACAGGAAGCAAAGTGGCTATTGGTGGGCAGACCAAGCCCATTTTCCGAAAAAAGGCTAAAACTACAAAGAAGATTGTGCCGAGGCTTGAGTGTGTTGAGCCTAACTGCAGATCTAAGAGAATACTGGCTATTAAGAGATGCAAGCATTTTGAACTGGGAGGAGATAAGAAGAGAAAGGGTCAAGTGCTCCAATTCTAAGCTTCGTATTTTGTTTTATTATATGACAATAAAATCTTGATATGTTCACTTCAAAGAATAAAATAAAATAAAGCAAAGAGCCCTAGCCGGTTTGGCTAAGTGAACAGAGCATCGGCTGTGGACTGAAGGGTCCCGGGTTCGATTCTGGCCAAGGGCGCATGCCTGAGTTGCAGGCTCGATCCCCCAGTAAGGGGCGTGCAGGAGGCAGCCAATCAATGATTCTCTCTCATCATTGATGTTTCTATCTCTCTATCCCCCTCCCTTCCTCTCTGAAATCAATAAAAATGTATTTTAAAAAATAAATAAAGCAAAGAGCCCTGGCTGGTTTGACTCAGTGGATACAGCATAGGCCTGTGGACTGAAGGTCCTGAGTTCTATTCCGATCAAGGGCACATGCCCATGTTGTGGACTTGATCCCCAGTAGGGGGCGTGCAGGAGGCAGCCAATCAACGATTCATCGTTGATGTTTCTGTCTCTCTCTTCCTCTCTGAAATCAATAAAAATAGATTTTTTAAAAAAGCCTTGAACTGGATAATATGGAAAAACACAAAACTCTTTTCTTTTTAAAAAAATATATTTTTATTTGAGAGAAAGAGAGAGGGAGAGAGAGATAGAAACCTCAATGAAGAGAATCATTGATCGGCTGCCTCCTGCATGCCCCACATTGGGGTTAGAGCCCACAACCCAGGGACCAGGAATCGAACTAAAATCTCCTGGTTCATAGGTCGACGCTCAACCCCCGAGCCAGGCCAGCCAGGCCACAAAACTCTTTTCAAAACAGTTTGAGACATGACTTACTTTTGTACGGTACTATTCTATGTATTTACATAATTGATTTGTAGACGAAAGGGGCCACATGCTAACCTGATAAGCTCAGGGAAGGCTTGCATAGTGGTCTTGCAAACTCAGAGACCTAAAGTAATCACAAAGGATGGTCTGAAATTAAACTTTAATTAAAAGCAGTTATGGCCCTGACTGGTTTGGCTCAGTGGATAGAGCGTCGGCCTGCAGACTGAAAGGTCCCAGGTTCGATTCCAGTCAAGGGCATGTGCCTTGGTTGCGGGCACATCCCCAGTAGGAGGGTGTGCAGGAGGCAGCTGATCGATGTTTCTCTCTCATCGATGTTTCTAACTCTCTATTCCTCTCCCTTCCTCTCTGTAAAAAATCAATAAAATATATTTAAAAAAAAAAAAAAAAAAAAGCAGTTATGGTGGGTAGTTACAGCCTAGGCCCCTATCTTCACTGACAAGATCAACCTTTACCTTAATTGAGCTTATCTGTCTTTTTTTTTTTTTAATATATTTTTATTGATTTCAGAAAGGGAGAGGAAGAGAGAGATAGAAACAACAATGATGAGAGAATCACTGATCGGCTGCCTCCTGCACACCCATCACTGAGGATCGAGCCTCGGTCCACAGGCTGACGCTCTATCCACTGAGCTAAACTGGCCAGGGCTGTCTTTTTGCATCTATAATAACATATCTTTGAAATGTCTGGGTAACTTGTAACTTCCCTTTTTCCAGACGCCTTGGGGCACAACCTAATGTGCCTGGGGTCAGGACAGATACCACAAATCAAATTCCTTCATTGTTATGTTAATTGTTCCTGCACCCACCTAAATATGTGTCTATCATTTTACTTTTTATCCAATCCCAGGGTTTCCACCTCCCCCCACCCCCCACCCCCGACTTTGCTTTCTTCTGCCTCTCTAATCTATCATCAATGGATTTCATGTAACTCACCTACATCCCATCCTTTGATTGCAATGTATAAAAATAGATGAGAAACCGCCATTCTCTGGAGCACTATCCCAATCCGTTGAGATATTGCTTCCCGGCAATTGTCCACAGTTTGGCTCAAATAAACGCACAAAAATTCTTTACAGGTTTGAATGTTTTTTTTACGTTAACAGATCCAACTTTATATTTACTACTTGTTTAAAAAAACACTAGGCTCATGAAGTGAGGGAAGGAGTCAGAGATTGGCAAAGGCTGGACCATGTGAGGTCTCAGAGGCTCTGAAAGGAGTCTGGACATTATTCTAAATGCAGTCGGCCACTGGAGGGATTTAAGCAGAGGAATTACATAATCATATTTTCTTTGGCAGAACATGAAGAACAATGCAGGGGAGGCACGATTGAAAATAGGGAGACACGTGTCAGGATCTTGCCTTTCTCCAGAAGTGAAAAGATAAAGGGTGAGGTGACAAGATAAAGGACAGTAGGGAGTGGAGAAAGCCGAGCATTCAGATATGTTTTGAAAGTATACAGGATTAAGTGTAGATTAGAAGTGATTTTATTGACTAGAAGGTAGAGGCTTTTTTGTTTTGTTAATCCTCACCTAAGGATATTTTCCCATTGATTTTTAGAGAGAGTGGAAGGGAGGGGGAGAAACTCACTGCTGGGGATCGAGCCTGCAACCTAGATACATGCCCTTGACTAGAATTGAGCCTGGGACCCTTCAGTTCTCAGGCGCCGCGCTAGCCACTGAGCCAAATCAGCTAGGGCTAGAAGGTAGAGTTCTATTGAGCATAATATTCAATGTTCTGTGCAAAAGGAAATTATATTTATTTGTCCTCTCACCAATAGTTTTTGAGCAAGGTAGGTATTGAGACAGATAGAAGTAGAAACCTATCAATAACTGTATGACAATGAAAATATATGACATATATAATGAGCTTTTGCTGAATTTTATCTCTACTGCACATATTACATAAACATTTAATCATAACAAAGTGTGACCATTTGTTACCATTGTATAAATGATTCACCCAGATGAAGGTACATCTTTCACTATGGGCTATACATTCCAGAGAATGTATTTCTGAATTTGAAGGATTCAAACTGTGGCCATCAGCTGCATAGGCCAGGAGGGATGGGACAGTCTCCTGTAATGGGTCTGTGAAACCCTTTCTCCCCACATTGTCCTGTATTTTCCTACATTTTAAGCAAGGGTCCCTTTTATGATAAAGAACAACAAAACAATAATAATGATAACAGTAGTAGTAATAACGTTTACTTGGGATGTTATTGTTTTCTTTGGCAAGCTTCTAAGTGCCCAATCTATTTTGTTTTTATAACAAATGATTACAAATAATATATACTAGGCTTCAATTTCATACCCATGGTCTGTAATCAGGGAGAGAAAAAAAGAGGAAGAGTCAGGATAAAGGTGAAGAAGAGCAAGAAATAGGACAAAGGGGGAACTCAAATTCAGCAAAGGAGAACTAGCTTGCAGGTAATTCCCCTGGACTAGAGCCTGGCCTCCTTCCTGGTTTTCTATAGCTTCTCTTGCCCTTTAGAATATTTCCCCATAGAAGTCGAGGGAGGAGGGAAGTTTCTTGTTACAATGCAAATCCTATCCATCCTTTTCTTTAACACCCTTCAACAGTTCTCAGTCGCTTGCAGAACAAAATCCCAAATCTTTATATGGCCCAATTTGGTATCTTTAAGCGGCTTCTGCTACTCCAGCCGCCACCTTCCAAGCGCTTTAAAAGCGGAGCCTAGCTGTAGCTGGTTTTGCTCAGTGGATAGAGCGTTGGCCTGCAGACTGAAGGGTCCCAGGTTCGGTTCTGGTCAAGGGCACATGCCAAGGTGGTGGGCTCAGTCAGTCCCTAGTGGGGGAGGGGGGGAGGGCATGCGCGAGGCAGCCAATCAATGATTCTCTCTCATTGTTGATGTCTCCCTCTCCCTTCCTCTCTGAAATCAATAGAGAGAGAGAGAGAGAGAGAGAGAGTGAGAGAGAAGTCTAGCTTTTTCCTGCCTTACGGACTAGTTCCCGGGGCAAGAACTAGCTACTCCTTCCCACCCAAACTTTTCCTCGTTTTTTAATTCCTGGGCCTCCACTTCCCATTTTTTTCTCTGTCCAGTTAATTCCTGTGGATGGTTTATTTTTGTGATTAGACATTCATT